GGATTGCAATGCCGTAAAAAAACATTTTAGGTGACTTCGACTGGGTGATTTTGGCCATGATATTTGCTTCGAGGCAGACGGTGATTTTATATGGCTCTAGAAGAGAAATATTGTTTTAAGGTCCGAGGGCAGAAATAGGGGAGAATATTTTTAGAAAGCCTATCTGTTAATTTTATCTAACATATGGTGAAAGTAAAAAAAAACACGTAAATTGAGCAAGCTAACATAGCATTTTATATTAAACAAAGAAGTCAATTCATTTCCTAAGTATTTTGTGACAATAACCATGAAAATATGTCAACAAATGAGATTCATCATGGATTCCCGTGTAGACCAAAGGTTCGCTGTCGCACAATATTCGTTGTTTCACGAAATATCTTGTGTGTTTAATATAATAGCATCGATATTGCTGTGTATGTGAAACATGACAATATATATCGTGACTTGTGATGACGTGAAATCATTATAAAGTAAGCTCTCTGGTGATAGTATAAAGAAGAGAGGAATTCATTCACAGCAATATAAGATTAAAATCAACCGGTAATCATGGTAACTCTATGATTATACATATTTTCATTCAACATTATTATTGTTTTTTTTTTGCACGCCACGTATAACATCAGATGTTTACTTTTACTCTCAGTCCTGAACACAGGTGGCGCTAGACCGAGATAAACAATAAAATAAGACACGCACGGTAATTATATACCCCCCCCCAAAAAAGACAAATCTTACTGTACATGTATTATTTGAAGTGTTCGTAAACAAACAACATGCATTGATTACTAATAACATTGGAAAAGTGGAATGTGCTTAATATTATATCAATAATTATGGATCTCAGTACAATTTTAAATCTACAGATGGGTTACAATGTCAGGCTATCATATTTGCTGAAAGCGTGAATACTTAACAAATAAACACAATCAGACAACCCCTTTGACAAAGTTTAAAATATTTCATTCTTCAGTACTTATGCGACATTTAACCAAGATGGACTTTACCAAAGCGAAAAAAATAGTATCCGACATCATAAACTTTGGAGCATTACTCAAACGGACAGTGAAAATAGAATTGAGAGGGCGTTTCTATACTGAATGTAAATCGCATACATTAACACTCCACATCGGAGAGTCAGTCAACCCACATAATTGCTAAATATATTCCTAAATCCTGAGATATTTCTTCTTTTCAGCTCG